TCATCACAAACACTATCCCCAAGCCGAGAGCAGCCCCTCACAGGCCTGACTTGTTAGCACAAATGTCAAGAGGCATAAGAACGGCACACCCTTGTCAGTCACACACTCCTTGAACACGTGCGTGGAATGCCACTTACATAATCGCAGATTGTGGTTGGGCTGCACAAAATAAAAGCCCAGAGAAACTGCTCAGTTCCTTCCTCTTTTTAAGCTGCTCTATTTTATATTGGAGACAATGTTCGCAGCATGAGTAATACCCATCAGTTGTCAGTAATTCAGCAGATTGTGCCAGTGTTGACATTTGTTCTTGGCTTAATTGTGCGCGAGTGTGTATTTTAAACAATGATGCAGCTGTCCCCATCCCTGGCCATTACAATATAAAAATGGTGTTCACTGAATCTGGCACTGTGATCACTTGGTCACGTGTCTACTCTTTTGTTTGTAAGTCCTTCTGAATGTTTGCTGCAATTCTACAATCAGAGCATAAATTTGGCCTAAGGTAGAGTCTGGCTCCACATTGCCAGTAGCATCAAAGATTTCAAACTCGTTCGTTTCATGACCTTAGTTCTCTGATTCCACTAGCCTTGCAAGACATTTGTGGGTGGGTTAAATATAACTCTTTGGTTTGATCTGAAGAAATCAGATATCAAGTGCCATTGGGCTGGATAAGCAGCGTCAGCAGAGATGGACTAGATTACTGCTGGCCATTTGCAGAGTGATGGAGAGCCACCCCATGGGTGTTTCCACAGATCCCCACCTGTCCCCAACACCTGCATCAAGCTTATTCCCCGCAGGTCCGTGCAGGTAGCAGAAAATAAGGACCTCTGGGGCTGCCACTGTCCCTCAATAATTTTGGTGCACTTTTTCCCATTAGGTTAGGAGATTAATGCTCACATCACCTCATTTGGTGATGGCAAGGCAGATACCTAATTATAAATAATGTGTCATTTTGGAAAACCATTTGGCAGTAGTCACTAAAGCTGAACATCCATACAGTATCTGACTGAAAATTTCCAAATTCAGATGCCCAATAGATATGCATGCCTCAATCCATCAAGGAGCAGGCTTTGGAAGCTTCATGGCAGCAGCTGCCAAATGTCCATCAACAGTAGAAATGCTAGTGCTGGCCATGTGGCATGGCGGTCTAATGCTTTGGCTAGCATGCACAAGTCCCTGGGTTCAATCTGAGGCCCTAAAAACACAAAGCAAAAGGAAAGATAGTCAGGCATGCTACAGTATTATACAGCAGAAAGATCGCACAGACGCTAACTAGAAACTGGTTTTATCCTGTTGTGAAAGAACCACACATTTAGTATTGTGAGGAATACACAGATGAGCTTCAAGTTGTATAGCTGAGGGGCGGGGTCTCATTTTTAATGTGTCTCAAGGTCAGGGTAGCTGGAGCCCAGGACCCTCTTCAAAGCCTCTTCAGGTTGGAATAATTCAGTCTTTTTTTGTGTGGTTGTTGGCTATTGACCAGGAGCCAGTCTCTGTTCTGAGAGGGCATCTGAGTACTTTGCCAAGAGGTCTCCTCTATCTTCAAAGCCATCAGTGAGCGCTCTCTAAAGTCAGTCTCTAGAATGATTCAACTCACCTTCATAGAAGATCCCAGTCTGTTTCAAGGACTCATGTGATCAGGGCCATAAAGAGCCACCTACTGATCTCAACCACCTGACTTCAGCCTGAAGACCTACGAAAACCCTCTGCCCAGCAGCCCCCGTGTTAGCATTCATCCGCATGACTGGTAAAAATGTGTGCGCAAGAGGGTGTACGTACACCCATACATATACAATAACATGTATGGATTTCACAGCTAACAGTGAGCCAGAAGAAGCCAGACACAAAACAATATTCCATTTACAGAAACTGCCTGAACAGGAAATACATTAGGTTGGCATCAGGAGTCAGAGCTAGCTCTGTGAGTTGGCTTAGTGGTATAAGCCTTAGCTGTGTGAGCCTGATGTCTAGAGTTCGAGCCTCAGAACCCTTGAGTGCACAGTAGCCATAGTGGAGCGTGATGAGATCCTAGGTGGGTGGGAGGACTTCTCCTCTGGTTCCCATTCTGGCCACATCACTGCTCAGCTTATGAAAACGCAGTGAGCTATACACTGGTGGTCCATGCTGTTTTGGTAAATGTATTATACTTCAATTAAAAGGTTCTTGGGATAATTTGGATTCATTACTGTAAAATGGATTTGTTTTGGTTTATTTTGCAGAGAAGCTTGCATCCAAAGGCAATTCTCAGAATGGGGAGGGAGGATAAGCAGGATGAGAAAGGAAACAAGGTGCCGGGGCTGGAGGGAGGGGCTAGCCACTCCAATTTGTATAGCTCCTGCATATGGTTGAATGACAACGATCTGAAAACTAGATTAGTTTCCAAGAACTAAAGTACCCAGTTCTCTGTGTGTTTGTCCGTCCTGCCCTGTTGATCCCAGTAATGTGCCTGAAGAGATACTTATCTGTCACCTGCCATTCTAGAATGCATCACTCCCTGGTTACAAACACAGAGGGACAGCTGTGTGCCAAAAATGTTAACTTTCTAATCCTTTCCCTTCCCCATTCTCCTCTCTAACTACCCCAGTTTAGAAGCAGACAGTGGACTCTGGTTTCTAGACTAGAGAGACCCCCTCCAGGGCTGAATAAGAAACTCATGTTGTCTTTGAATGACTGCTTCTGTAGTAGGAGCTGCTGGTTGGATTCCGCCACCCAGCTCCCGCCACCGGCTAGCTTTACCCGAAATAACAACACACAAACTGTATTCTTTTAAATACTGCTTGGCCCATTAGCTCTAGCCCTTACTGGCTAATTCTGATATCCCGATCAACCCATCTCTAATAATCTGTGTAGCATCAGTCTTACCGGGAAAGAGTCAGCATGTCTGACCTGGCGACTTGCTTCATCGTGTGCGTCTGCCCGGGAGAGGGGAGCATGGCCTCTGAGCTCACTTCCTCTTCCTCCCAGCATTCTGTTCTGTTTACTCCTCCCACCTATGTTTTAACCTATGAGGCCAAGCAGTTCCTTTATTATATAATTAACCAATGGCCTTCCCCCATCATGCTTCTGTCTCTGTATGTCTTCCTCGCTAACCTCACATGAGGAAGGCACAAGGTAGATTGACAGTCCCTGCTCTGTCAGCTTGGAACTTGGGTGTGGGACCTGCTCTGCAATATGTGGAGGACCCAGTGGCAAGTGGTAGGTACTCAGGAGTCCCTGTTAAAAAGTTAGAGAGATCAGAGCGTGGTATGGTGACACACACCTTAACCCCGCGTTGAGAATGGGCACAAGTTGGAGGCCAGCCTGGGCTTCAGAGCCAAAGCCTGTGGTGAAAGAAAGAAAGCAGGAGAGAAAAGCACAAAGTCAGTGCTGTTGTTGGGGTACACTGTCAGGTCCCCATTCCCAGCATGTACAGGAAACCTGAAACTCAAGAACTTCTTGCTAGGCAGACCCGGCTAGGTAACTGCACTTGGACCCACTCAACAGTAGACTATGATAGAAGACAGGAGGTAAAAATTCGTGAGCGTACATGAGAGCGATTATAGGTTGATGTGTAAATCATCAACGGATTCAAGGCTAATCAGACAGTGATGAGCCCTCCGGATTTCTAGATTATCTCATTAATTGGCTGAAAAGCCTGAGTACTCACAGATAGGTATAGGGGATAGAAAACCACACATTCTTCAAAGATAATACTTAGTGTTTCAATCCTGTGAAAGAATACAGTTGAAATTATTACTGGCTCCTTAATTATGGAAACTTAGCATGCATCCCTTGGTCTTTCTGTTCAAAAAAAGATTGCTAAATGCAAAGGGGTTGGAGTCTGGACATTTCTCCAAAATTCTTTTTCCTGCTGCGACTTGAGTTTTGGTCAAATTTTGAGTGCAAGGCAGGCATGACTCTGGGACCTAGGGAGTGTCTGGTAGGTCCTGGGAAGGGCACCCTAATATACAGAGTGACTTGAGTAGTGGATGCCCCAGGCACGTGACTGACTCCCAAGTCTATGCCGTGTCTGGATGGAATGATGGACTGCTGCCGCGAGCCTGGAATCTGGTAGGGGTGGGCATTCTTCGGAGGTAAGAATTTCTGGGATACCACCGCCTTCCCGTTGCATCTCTGGGATCATTTCACCTGTTTACACTGAAGCACCGAGTGCTCACTACTGGACCTAGTGACTTCTTAACGCTTTGGGGAGTCGTAGTACCCGAAGTTGGCCAGCTGCTGACCTATGGTCTATGAATAGTTCCAAGGATAAAACAAAGTCCCAGTGTCTGGGTGACAACAGAGTTATTGACTAAGGGCCATTTGCTGTAGATGGTGAAAGGGTAGAGGCCAGTAGCCGGGGAGGTGGGGGAGGCAAGGGGTTGGCGGGGGATAGACCCCGACTTTCTGCTCAGCAGGAGCCGGGAGTCGAGGCCCCAGGGACTACCCTTCAGGCCATTAGCATGCAGGGGCCGCGCGCGCCGTCCTTGAAGGGCTGCCCGGCTGACCTTGCTCCGTTTTCACCGCGGATTCTCCAGCAGCGCGCGAGGACGCGGGCGCCGCGGTGACTCAGTGCCCTGCGCGCCGCATGCAAATGCTCGTCTCCGACGAGGCTGGCTCTGCGGTCTGCGCTTGTCCCCGCGCTCCTCCGAACCCCACGATTCCAACCCGGCTCTTTCCGCCTTTCCCTTCCCCCTCCCCACAGCCCCGCGTCCTCAGGTTGCGTCGTCGCCCACCTCGCCTCCACAGCACCGAAGGGCAACCTTCGCACTCCCTGACTGCGGGCGCGGGGATCAGACACGCCGTCCTCCGGCCGGCCCCAAGCTCCGGCTGCCCCCGATCCCCAGCCAGCCCGGAGGGGGCGGTGCGCAGCGCAGAGTCTCAGCCCAGCCTGGCCCGCCCTGCTCCTCATTGGTCGTCACCTCGGCGGGAGGGCGGCCCGTCTCGGGCACCTGCCGTCGCCCCTCCACGGGCAGATCGGCGGCTGCGGGACACCGGCGCCCAGAGACAGCAGCACGCGAGGACAGGCCTGGGGCTCGGTGGACCTCCTCACGACTGGCCCTGTCCTTTCGCCACCGCGGCCCCGGCTGCGCTCGCGGGAAACTTTGCCCGGCGAAGTCCTCTGCCCTCCTGGCCAAGCCTTGACAGTTCACCTAACGCCCCCCGGGGCCCCACACAGCGCGCGTGATTGCCACGCCGCCCCGCACGGTGCATCCGCGGCGCCGGGCCGCCAGGATGCGCTACGCAGACCCCTCAGCCAACCGGGATTTGTTGGGGAACCGAACTTTGCTCTTCATTTTCATCTGCGCCTTCGCCTTGGTGACCTTGCTGCAGCAGATCCTGTACAGCAGGAGCTACATCAAGAGGTAAGAAAGTCTGAGGGATGGAATACACCCAGTCTAGAGGTGGCCAATAGGCAGCGGTGGCTTTCTCCGAGCAGGTGACAGGAGGTTTGCCCTTAGCCGGAGCGCACCTCCGTGGTGTGCCCTATGGCATCTCCATCTCTGCTGCTAGCTGGAGGACAGCGCCAGCTGTGTGCCTGTCGTGGTGTGTGTGTGTGTTTGTGTGTGTGAACTTTGTTCTATTGTGAACGTGGGCAGCACCTTGGAACGCCAAGCAGCTAAACTGACCATAAATGCATGTGCATGCCCAGAGCTGCGCTGTCCCCCAAAACCTACATTTTCGTGGTCATTTGGCTGTGACTGGAAGGCCAAAGGTTTCTTTTTTTCTTCTTAGTATGGCAGTCATAAATTTTTGTGGGGGACCTTGGAGGTAAAGGTTTTTTTTTCTCCCCAGGAACCCGGGATTAGGTGGGATGGTAGTGGTTGGTCTGTGGCCACACAAAGGGACAGTAAATTTTAGATCTGTGAGACAAGCTGATGGCCTTCGAAGTAGATGGTTCTTTCCCATCCTTAGCCCCAAAGGTCAGAGCAGCAGAAGTTGGGCTCTCTCACCCCTTCTCCATCCACAGCCAAACTCCTTGAAGAGAAAGGGCAGTCGATGCTGTTCACAGCTTCAGTCTCGGTGTGCGAAAGATGCACGGGCATGCCAGGCTCCCGCGGCTCCGCTGCCCGGTGGAGCCCGAGTTGCTGCCGGCGACCTGCCTGCCTGGAGGTGGGAGCTCTGCCCACGCTCCCGGGTGAGGGTCTTTAGTGGAAAGAGCCCCTCTCCTCTCTGTTGCAGGCCCCTCCTTCACCACCAGTGCCTATCTCATCTTACTGCCGTCCATTCAAATGGATAGGAGGAAAATCTACACACACACACTCTCTCACACACACACACACTCTCTCACACACACACGCACACACACACACTCACCATCTCAGAAGCGCCTCAATAATTAAGTGCTATTTACTTCCCAGTCCTGGGGTTTGCACTGGCCACATATGCTCCCACTGGGGGCTGCCCAAAGAGTGTGGGGGGGGGGAAGGTCGCTGCATCGGGAGAGCTAAGGCATCGGCTGTCCTTCCCTGTACCCCTCCGGAACTGAGGGCTATGTGACCCCTTGCCTCGTACATTCTTTTCCAGTCACCCACTGCTCCAGACTTCCCCAGGCAGCTCTCTTCCCTAGGTAGCACCAGCTCGTGTGCTCTGTGTGGTACTGGTGTCTTTAAATACACTTTCTAGTCTCCTGACTTGCTGGGTTTGATAGGTTTCCGCTAAGATGGTTCCAGAACTGTCTGCTGTGCAGCCTTGCTTGATCTTGGTACCTGCTTCTCAGTGGGGGCAGCTCTTGGCTTCCTCCCCCTGCTGGTAACTATCCAGAATTGCTGGGGCTCATGGAGCTTCTGGAGGGACAGGAGAGAGACATCAGGTCAAAGTAGGTGCCAACCACACTACCGCCCGATTTTTCTGTCAAATCCTGCCTGAGTCTGGATGGATGGACTGGTTGCCCAGAGCCCAGCAGGTGTATCAGTTGGTTCCCATTCTCCATCTCTCAGAGACCCTGATCGCTAAGCAGCAGGTAAAACCTTGCAGGCCTCACTTCAGGAATCCTGTTTAACAGGAATCCTGTTTAATGCAACCAAACTGTCGAGACTGGTATATGTTCCATCCTAGAAGGGAACCAAGGAAGGGATGCTATAAAGGAGCTGATGATGTGGTCCCAGTGCTCCGTGGGATTAAAGTCCGTCTCTGGAAGCAAACGGCCACAAGTGAGATAAGAAGTACATGGCTGAGAAGAGCGTCTGATGGGCCAGGGGAGACTGCTTGGGGAGGTGGAGCTCTCATGGGCCCTGAAAGCAGGCTGAGATCTAGATAGGGGAGGGGCACGCACAGCTATAAGGACGGAAGCAGCAGCCCAGCCCGGGATACAGGCGTGGAGCTGTCCCCTCCCGTGTCTCCCTCACCCATCTCTCCTGCACTGCCACACTTGGCTGCGTTTCTGGTCTGTCTTCAGGCTCCCCTGGTTCTGTGTCTTGCAACTGACTCATTTGCTTATGTGTCCTATTTCATCACATATCATAGTTGCTAGGAGTTGGCTCCCATCAGGAAACAGCAAAGACCTGTACTGGAGCTTCCGGGGAAGCCCCTGAGATACAGATTCCTGGGCCCTTGGGTCGAACTCCTTTCTAGGTTGTCATCTGGAAACCCATCTCTCTGACAGGCCCCGAGGGACCAATAGCAAACTCACTTGTTGTTGTAGACCAGTAGGTCTCTGTCAGGTCAATTTCACCCTTAGACATTAGAATAGCTGTACTGTCCACACTACTATGTGTCCTATGGTCCTGTAGTCTGTGCTACTACGTGTACCATGGGCCTGGAGATTGACACACACAGAGACAGAGAGACAGAGACATGGAGACATGGATCATTCTTGACTTCCCCAAGAATGCTCCCTTTATTGTATTCAGGGGCAGCTTATATAGGGATCCTTAATTGATAGCCATGCCCTAGCCAAACGCACCAGAGACCACTCCCCTGCCATCAGGAACTCCTGAGGGTCTCGTGCTCAGAGCAGCTATGAACACAGGAAAACAAGTTGTTTTGCTCAGAGCAGCTGCAAGCATTGGAAACCAAATTCCAGGAAATTCAGGGTCTGGGGGTCCACAGCCCCCAACAAATAGCCACATCTTTAGTTGTCACATGGGGACAGGAGATGTTACTGTCATCGAGGAGGAAGCCAGGGGAGATGTCTGAAAACTCCCCAAGGCCTAAGTTGCCTGCCACAGCCAAGATGGTTCAGCCCCAAATGTCAGTGGTGCTGAGGTTGAAAACTGCACTGGGCCAGAAGCTCTGAGGTAGGGACTACAGTTTGCTTTAGGCTGCGTGTGTGTTTAGTAACAAGTCATTAATAAGTATGGAGAATGAACAAATGATTGAAGACAGGAGTAGGTGTGTGTGTGTGTGTGTGTGTGTATACATGCGTGGGTGTATACTTAGTTATAGCCATTGGAAGAGACACACGATGGATCCCATGATGTAAGGGGCATCTTGGTATGTGTCAGACAGCAGTGATTAATGGTTTCAGTGATGTGCTCTAAAGGATAGATTGAGCGTGGTTCTAGGTCATGGGGAGGAGGGTAGTAACTTGGTAAAAGTGTCTGGAAAGGAAGGTTATTTAGGTGCAGTACAGGAAGACTTGGAGGAGGAGGGACACCTGGGGTATAATCTTAGCCACTCATAAGTGAGGGCAGGGCTCAGGGATTCAGAAGACCGCGTTAGAGAACAAGGATGGCAAGGTCGTCTAGTGATGCAGAGCTGCCACAGAGGGAAGTGGGTGATGTAGGTCGACGTGTTTTATTTATCCATATATTTATTTATTTTGAACCCTCCATCTTGCCCTGGGGTGTGCGATGGAAATTTTGACAAGGTCCACCATAAGTCACTAAAATTCTAGCGATGTACGTCTGTGGGGGACAAAAGGAGCAATGTGATGACCTAGTAAGAGCCATCTCTGTGGAGCAGAAAGCATACACCATGGCTTGGGAGGAAATGACACGGAAGGAGCAAGGTTGTGATGTGCTTGGCTTCCCATGTCTGCTTCAGACTTACTACACATTAAGTACTTACTATACACTGAGGACATACTACATACTAAGAACATACTTATACTGAGTACTTACTACACACTGAGTATTTACTATATACTAAGTATTTCCTATGCACTGAGTACTTACTCTACACTGAAAACATACTATACACTGAGTACTGCTGTGCACTGAGTACCACCAGAAGTGCTGAGGATAGTGTGTGCAAGGGCCCAGGTATGGAGAAAGTGAACAAACTCACGGACTGTGAGGAAGACATAAGGGCTTGCATGGAGGCATGGACAAGGGACCCTAAGGGCGAGGGGGGAGCTGCTTCAGGATTATTTGGCTTACAGAGGACATTTGAAGGGGTCTTAAAGAAAGAGGAATGCTCCTTGGGCACAGGCGGAGGTGGGAGGGAGGTTCAGGAGGCCAGCATGAGCCTGGGATGAAGGGCAGGGAGACTGAGCAGTCCACACACAGCAGGGCTAGAGCCGCACTGTCCAGGCAGAGAGACAGACACAGAGTGTGGAGAGCAAAGTGAGTGTGTGTGAGAAGGAGTGTGTCGGAAGATGGAGAATCACGGTTTGAGTGTGTGTTTGCTTGGACACGGAAGGCAGTCTGTCTGGAGCAAGCCAGCAACTCTCTGGAGAGGAACTCCGAAATGGCGCAAGGGGAAGGGCCAGGCTAGCGACGAGGCTTTTGGAATGAATCTCTTGCCATCAAATCAGTGTGTTCTGAACTTTTATGATTGTGATGTCCAGTAAGAAAACAATTCTCCTTGGGGATAGTGAATTCTGTGAAGTAAGAGTTGGCTTTACTATGAGAATTGTGCCCTGATATTTTCTACTCAATTCATCAAAACAAAACGCTGTAGGGAGCTGGAGAGATGGCCTCAGCAGCCTCCTGCGGAGGACCTGGGTTTGGTTCCCAGCACCAATGTGGTGGCTCACAACCGTCTGTAGTTCCAGTTCCAGAGGATCAAATGTCCTCTCCTGGCCTCTGTGGGCATTGTACCATGCTGCATTTTCCATACATGCAGGCAAACACATACACGTAAAATGAAAATAATTAAAAAACCGTCTAGGAGAACTTTCCGTGGCTGGGAATCTAGCTCAATGGTAACGGTGCACTGGAGAGCATGCATGAGGCCCCGGATTCAATCTCCAATACCCACTTTTCTTTTTCATTAAATACACACACACACACACACACACACACACACACACACACACACACATTTATTATTTGGCCTTAAGAAGAAAGTTCTAACACAGACTGCAGCATAGATAAACCTTGGCACTCTTACGCTAAATGTAATGAGGCAGATACAGGTGCTGTATGGCTCCACTCTGATGAGGTATTTGGAGTTGTCAAACACAGAGACAGAAAGAAAG